TGTACTCAGTTGCATTGTAGGTTTATTGGTGAGGAATCAATCAGTGTGGACATTTCTACTTTATACACAAGGAATTCTAGACTCTAGAAGGCTATGAAACCTGCCCTAAATCATACAGCTGATAAGAGGTAAAGTAAAAACCCAACCCAGGCAATTTAAGGAGTAGATTTTTAAACTGCCAATTCCCTTATGTGGTATTGAACATGGAAAAGAGGCTATGAGTTGGGAAGAGAGTGTAAATAAATGTTTGGGAGGGTTGAGAGGGAACAAGGGAGGGAAGGGGGGTCAGTGAAGTATAGGGAATTTGAGTCAGGCTGTTTGAGTGGCTGGGGAATCAACTGTCCCCTCTGCTGAGCTGGGATGTTCAAGATAAGAAAGAGGCTGCTGAAAGACTGTGAAGGAGATGGTGACCACAATTAGGAGAACCCTGTCATGTAATGTGTACAAGTCGATGTCCTGACAGGTATGTAAGGCTTTGCTACTTATGGGAGAGACCTTGGCTAGAGTGACAGGGTCAGCTGCAAGCGCAGTAATGCTTTGAATTTTCTACTTGATTCTTGGAGAACTTAGTAGGAGACAGGAGAGCTGTTTGGCAGATGCGTTGCTTCTACTCTTTAAGCTTGACATTTTGTGATCATTCACACCTATGCTTGGAGCTTAGGATAATTGCCACAGGATACACAAAGAATGAAGATATAGATATAGATGCTGGTGATAGATCTAGATACAGATAGATAGACAAATACAGATGATAAGAAAATAACTAGGCAAAGGAACTTCAAAGGTGAGAAAGAAATGGTTGCTGACTACAGGCAACTATTATCTCACATCTGGTACAGTAGTTAGTGCTCGATGTATGTGCTCTACCTCCTTTCACCAAGTTAGGATTTGAGTCTCAGAATATGTGATCATGGTGTGACTACAGGGTTCAGTTCAAGTCCCAACTGGCTTTAGACTCTTTCCAAAGATACTCAACACTCAAGGAGACCGACTGGAACCTATTTTAGGGTTGTAAATGGCATTGCCGGTTGGATTCCTATGCTTGGAAGACATGAGATGAGGGAGATGTGGATTAGATAACCTGGAATCACAGTAGGTAGGGGTGAAGGTTGGGGTGGGTCCTGGCATCCTGGCTGTGGGTAGGCAGACTTCCGGTGCATCTTGCTGAGCTGTGCGTCCTTTGCCCATGTCAACCTTCTTTCTGCGCATCCCAAGCTATCCCCCAAAGCTGTGATCTGATTAGTTTGCATTTGATTTCTTTGCTGCCTAATGAACTGCCTGTGTAGTTCTAGCTGTGATGTCATTAGCATCTCATTGCCTTGGGCACCAACTCAGGAGAGAGATTTTTAAGCAGTCCTCAGAATCCTACAGGAATTGTACCAATTTACCTCATAACAAGCAATTCACCTTTGCGACCTGTCAATTCGCACAAGCAGAGCAGAACCTGCATGAGAATGGGTTGGTCACTTTCATCAACTTAATGTGTCCCTGAATTTAGGTGGGTCAATATGTACATGCCTAAGGCCATGGGCACATACACAGTGAGATTCTGAGCATTAAGGATGCCAATATTCTCATACCATGATATTCTATTGGGGAAACTCATCCACTGTGTGCTGGAGGATACAGATTTAGCCTAAAGCAAATGGCACTTATTTATAGCAAACTGTATTTGCAAAATGCTTTGCAGTTTTAGGGTTGTTAACTACATTCCAGGTTGAATATCACTCTACTTGTAAGAAAGCTAAGTGTCACAGCTAAACATGAGGACCTTCCTGGGAGCAGGTGGTGAGGGGTCACACAGGTACGATTTGTCAAAGGACACATTTGCCAATCAGCATCTTCCAAGACCTTAATTGTAGATTGTGTCTTTTGTTCAAATGCTGTGTGTTTACTGAAATATATATTTCTTTTCCTAAGAAGCATTATAGTGCTTCAGATTCCAGGAGTGTCTCTACCTAGGTGCCAGGGGATAGAGAGAATTGCCAAGGACTGTAATAGGAGCAGCCCAATAGAAAGAGGAGACCACTGGGCCATAGGAAATAAAGTGGCTTTCCCTCTTCCCACCTTTCTACCAACAAAGAGCAGACTCTCCTGAAGAGTTTAGGATCTGAACTATTCATACACTTGCAGTCAATGGTGGCACTCTCTTTGGGGTAAGGGAGATTTATGTGGGCTTTCACCAATGGACTCCATCATTTTAAGGAGTATTTCCCAATTGTATCTTTAACTGCACATAGAAAATGCATTTTCTCTTTGAAAAATCTCTCTCACACACATGTCTATTCTTGGCTGGAGATTGAATAGATGGCTTTTGGGAACTCACTGTTCATTGCTTCTGTATAAATCCAGCCCTCTCTCTAGACAGCTCCATCTCATGTGAGCATGGGGCCAGCAAGATACATCGGCCTTGACTTCCACCGGGGACCTTGTATGTGGACCTGATTTGAGGGGGGAAAGATGGAGAATAAGGTCCTGAATTAAAAAAGGCAAAAACAGACAAACAAACAAACAAAACGAGAGCATTTGAGGGCATCTCTCCTCATTTCCTACATCCTTGTCTCAGCCATCCTCTGTAATCTCCAATCCTGCCAAGTACGGAGAGTGGATAGGTATTGACAGGGATTCACTGCGTCTTGATTTTAATTGGCATTGCCAGAAGACAGCAGCAAGGGGAGCAGCCCCTCATGTTTACAGCAATTACGAGCTTTAATGATGGCGAGCTGGAGGGCAGGGAAGTTAACTCCTTAACAGGGCACGCCGTTACAGTGCCCCCTGGTGGTTATTTTGGTACAATTCCTCTAGATAGTGACCTAGGAAAGTTCGCTTAAAGAGGAAAAGAAATGTCTTGATATATTACTTCCCTTTTTAAGTAACTTTTACTCAAAATTAAGGATATTTGGGGAAGTTTCTTTTTAAATTTTCTCTTGTGAGTTTTCTTTCAATTATCCTGTCATTATCGCCTGTTTCGCCTTAAGCTATAAGTTATATAATTTGTAATCGTTTTGCTTCTTAGTTTTTTTATTGTGTGTTAGGAAAAAGGAGCCATAAAATTGTTGAGATACCTACACCATACTTAGGGTTCTGAAATTTTATTTTCCGTGGTGCAGTCTTACAGTGCAGAAGGTAATCATTTTAGATCGGTTACCGCCATCTAGTGGTAGATTTCCAAGCATACAAAAGGATTCTCAACAAAGGAGAGTTGTGGCTTGCTAAGGAAATGCCTCTGCTGATAATGTGATTAAAAGCCACAGATGAAAAGGCTCTCAGCCTCATAAAGACTTTTCACAGACATCAGATACTGCCCAAAGATCCTACTCCACCTCCATTGACTTTGACCTGGTCATTCTCCAGTCTGAAGAAGACAGGGGGTCAGATCTTGGCTGGTCTGTGGTCCTTCAAATATTCCTAGTCATCCCTTCTCAGCCTAAGACAAAGTGCAGAACCATGACTGAGCTTCAGAAGCCGAACTATGTATAAAGGTGAGCCTGTGGGTGAAGTGATTTGGGGTTGGTTAGTCCTAGCTCTGGTTGATGTCATCGTCCTTGACTTTTGCTGTGTGTGCAGTTGTCCAGTTCTACAATCCAGGAGGTACTGGAGCTCAGTCCTGGTTCTATGATTAAATAAAATGCAAATGTTAAATAGACTGTTGCCCATAGTTGCTGAGCATGTCCTTTGCCTTCACACACAGGAGGACTCCTGGGTCAAGAGTGGTGGGTAAAAGTGTCTCATCCATGCAATGATGTAATTCGTTTGTGAATCAACAGCATTGAGAACCCCACCATGTCCCCACATGGGCCCATGTTACACAGCAGATAAGAGAGGGAATGGAGGAGCTCCCTACACCCCAGAAGGGAGAACATTTGTTTTTCTAAGTCAGTGAGTCATATCTCCAAATCATCTCCTGGAACCATTTTGCAAAGCTTTTCAACTAGTTCACTGTGTGTCCCATCAAGTACAACATTCTTAATGCATCCACAGGAGACCAGAACATTCTATGTGTCCCTACCATCTCCAAAGGCACAGCAGTCTCTCCAAAATCATTTCCTGCTTGAAACACCAACTTTCAGAAATAGCTTAAGAAAACTGGAGGGTTCTGTCCACAGACTCCTCTATAGATAATGAGTTAAATGGGTAATCATGAGGACTGAAGGAAGAAAGGACACATGGGGCTTTTGTGTGGGGGGAACAAACAATTATTCTCTACTAGGCATTTCTCATGTTTGTCCCCAAAAATAGATCAAGAGTTTGTGTAGCTAACCTCTATGCAGCAAACAACAATGAAAATCTTTTTGAAAAAGCCAAACTTCCCTCTGCATGCTCAACACATGAGCTAATTAGACAGCTGAGAAATGCTGATTTTGCTCTATGACCTAAATACCTTGGATTGAGATATTATTGGGTTCAAACACAAAAATCTCACAAAGGTATTTGTGACCTTGATGATATTGTCCTTCCCCGATATGTAGAAATGGGTATAATGGTAGGCTCTCTGTAATAGTAAAAAGAGACCTTGAATCAACCCCAGTGTCATGGGAGGACTCCTTAAATCTCAGTTGGAATTATAACTGGTGATGGGTGCTTTGAGTATGTTAGAAACTATATGTGTGTTTTCAAAACATTTTGTCATTCATTCATTTAACAATGCTAGAGGTAGGTGGTAGGAAGAAGCCAAGGCATAGAACGTTCACTGTTGCTGTCATCTGAATTCTTGGCAATGGACATACCACAGACACATCCCTCTGAGTGAATCAGTGGAGCCAACGATTCTCAGAAAAGAAACAACCCATTCTCATACTCGAAAGGCCATTTCCAACTCTGTATGTCACCGGGAAGATGCGGGCCCCCAATTAAGTGGAATGACAAAATCACAATTTTACCCCCTCGGTGGCACTCTTTAACTTCTCAGTGTTAGACCTCAGAATTCAGGAGCCACCGAGTCACGGCAGTCCTTGCTCTCTGGCCCCCCTCACTGTTTCTTTTTCCTTTGTGTCTGGCAGGCAACTCCCCATCTGATGAGTCGGAGGAGCGGGAAAGAGATCCCAAGGTGCTGACATTCCCAGAATACATCGCTAGCCTGTCAGACTCTGGCACCAAGCGTATGGCAGCTGGAGTCCGAATGGAGTGCCAGAGCAAGGGACGATGTCCCTCATCTTGTCCTTTGTGTCACGTGACGTCCAGCCCTGAAACCCCTGCTGAGCCAGTTCTGCTTGAAGTGACCAGAGCATCCCCCATCTATGAACTGGTGACCAATAATCAGACCCAGAGGGTAAGAGGGCTGAGATACTTGGCTCCGGAAGGTACCAAAATCAGAGAACTTGCTCCACAGTGCGATCGAGGGCGGAGAATCCTTTTGTTCAGCTAAGAGCAGCACCTAGTGTGTTTAGATTTGCATGTTTGTATATTAAGTCGCATCGAATCAATGCATTCCATAATACCCACAGCAATGTGATTCAGGAAGCACAACCGAGCACTTTGTAGAGTCTGCGCAAAGAAGACCGGAAGGAGATAGGTAGAGAGGCACGTGGTTTGCAATCACCGAAGTCGTTGTCATACCCTTTCCAAAGGGGGCATAGTTATAAGGAGGGCAATCAATCATCTCTATGTCCCACTTGACGCGATGGGCTGGCTCCCCTGTAACACGAATGTTAAATGGTCTTTAAATAAAAAACCCGGTACCAGACATTGGGGTGAAAGCTGAAAGATCAGAGAAGCAGAGCAAGCCACGGCCACTACCTCTTACCTCACCGATTCCTCAGCCTGAAAGGCCTCAGCCGATAGGCCTCTAGCCCAGTGAGCTTCCTCAGCCAAAAAGGCTTTAGTTCCTGTCTCCTCACACCTTATATACCTTTCTCTGCCCAACACATTACTTACTTCCTAGTGCTGGGGTTAATGGCATGTGTGCTTCCCACATACTGGGATTAAAGGTGTGAGATCTCAAGTGCTGGGATTAAAGGTGTGTGTCACCACTGTCAGGTTCTGGTTTCTCCCTTAGACTGAGTCAATCTCATATAGTTCAGGATGGCTTTGAACTCGCAGAGATCCAGACAGGGTAGGAGGAGCATAGACAGGGACAGCTCATTCTCTAGCCCCCTTGCCTCCTCTAATGTACCGAATAGAGTAAGCAAACCCCCACCCACAAAGACACCAGCCATTCCAAACTTGAACTAGAGAAGCTCCAAGTGTGAGGTTCCTGAGCGTTATCTGCAAGGCAGCTGGGAGTGAGCTGCAGCAGTGAACTGCTTGCCTGACTGCGAGGGATGCCCGTCCAGGTGGGGTGATAATTGCTTCCTTTTCTCTCTTTGAAGAGACACCTGGTGTGTCGCAGTTGGTTTCTTAGGTGTTGCTCAGACCCACAGGAGGGATTATGCCTGTGTGTTTCTCTCATCTACCCACCTCTTCCGTAGATATTTCAATGAGTGTTTGAAAATACAGGTTTTTTTCACGGGAACAAAAATGGTTCCTGCTGGCCTACAGATTCATCCTGAATCTGAAAGAGATGGTTATGGGATTGTGGCAAGAGGACTGGGAGAGAGAGAGGGACTTGAAGAAAGAAGGAATGGCTTGTTTCACGGGACACCCAAAGGTGTGCTGATGTCACCGGACACCCAAAGGTGTGCTGATGTCACTGGACACCAAAGGTGTGCTGCTGTCACTGGACACCAAAGGTGTGCTGCTGTCACTGGACACCAAAGGTGTGCTGCTGTCACTGGACACCAAAGGTGTGCTGCTGTCACTGGACACCAAAGGTGTGCTGGTGCTGACACAGCGGCTGCCCTACCCTTGTCCACCTAACATGGTACTCCCTCAGGGTGCTGTGGCTGATGACCGAACACTTCCTGTGTCATCTGTCTGGGTACAGTGGGGTCTGGGCTTAGCAGGGGCGTCCTATGAATTAGGTGCACAAAGCTACAGAAGAGAGAAGAGCTCGGGGGGAGACAAGGGACTTGGGGGCTATCAGTGAAAACCAGGATGCCTAAGGAAGTTCAACTTTAGGAGCCCCATTTTCCCTGTACCAGGTTTCACAGAGGGGTGGGAAGGCACTGTCCAGCTGGCCCTGTGTTAAACACTTTAGTTTCTAAATGCTGACAAGCTAGTCTAAGATGGAGTTTTCTCACTATCAGGAGAGTCTCCTTTTTTCTTCGTGTGACACATTGTACCTTTGTCATCCCCTCTGTAACTCTTGTTTTTCCTCCTAATTTTCACGTTCCACCAGAGAATATAGACAGGGGAGATGTTGGACAGGGGCTCAGCATGACGCCGGTGACCCTGTGTTGGTTTTCACCTTCCCCTCCAATGTGTGGGTTCATTTTCTATTGATCCTCTGTGTTCTATTGTTCTTTTGTTGGACTAGATAACCTCGGATGCCATACTTCAATGAAACCTTTGATTATGATAAACAAATAGGTTAAACTATTTAAACAACCCAGCAAACCTTAGGTCATTACTTTATATCTCAAATCCATACTACTTATGCCCCCCATCTCATTAAATGGCACCAGTGTCCCGGTCATCCTCTGTATCTTTTCCATCATCAAAAGCAACAGGTATATCCTGTATCTGTTCTCTTATCTGGAACCCCTGTCACAACCTAACTCTTGACTGTTATATCAAACAATTTATTGCAGCCATTTCCTTGTTGGCCCTTTTAATAAAACACCTGAAATTACTGTACAATATGGACTTCTGGCCATATTGCATCAAGGTAACTTAACAGTTCTTCAGCTTGAGCACAATTTAGAGTTCTTAGCACATTACAAAGCAGCTCATGATCCAGTCTGTCTTCACTTAAACGGTTAGGTTGTTAGTAGTACATACCAAAATTTAACTTTTGTGCTTCCTCAAACACAGTGCATTTTCTTTCATGAATTCAGCCTTTCAGACTTCCAAGTCTCTGTACCAAGAATGTACTCTGTCCCATTTAGGCCACTGGAAAACTCCCGCTATCATGCCATGGTTCAGATCAAACACCACTAGCTCTCAAGGTCCCCTCCTTTGTGTTCCTGGGCCAACTCAGAGTCCTTCATGGAACCCCCACTGCATGTGTACATTTCTTACAGCATGCATCTCCTGTGGTCATAGTTGTTTGGTTATTTACCTCGCTCTAGACTGTGCTTTCTCTTCTACAGAATGCCTGGGTTGGTGCATAGTTGATGCTTTGCTAAATAAATAAATGAACGAATGGATAAATGAACGAAATATTCTGTTGATAAACCTGAATTGAAAATGCACATTTTTCTTCTTTAATAAAAACAACAGCCAGCATTGGATTTTTTTCTAGACTCTATTAAATATATTAACAAGTATGGATTCCCCAGGAAGTGCATGGAAGAGCAAATTGCAGGTATTTAGAAAAGTGGGATTTCCATTTCTCTTCCTTTTCAAGGAAGTCCAAGGGGTTTCATTTTGAGTCTTCTTTTCTATTGTATATTAGCCAGCTTTCATCACTGTGACAAAATACTGGATATACTCAACTTAAAAGAAAGGAATATCTTTCAGTTCTTCAGATTTCAGTCCACAGTTGCCCAGCCCTGTTGCTATGGGCCTGTGGTGAGGTAGATCGTGATAGTACGGGTGCATGGCATAGGAACCTTCTCACCTCATGGCAGCTGGAAAGCAAAGAGAATTAAGACTATTCTAAGACTAATATATAACCTCCAAAAGCAAGTCCTGGGACCTAAGTCTTCTTTCTAGAGCTTACTTGCTGGTGCCATTAAGTTATGTATCAACCAGTATACTAATATATGGATGAAATTAGTGTCTTCTTCACTTCTCAGTGGTATCAACACCTTGGACCAAGCCTCCTGGACAGGACATTTCATATCCAAACCACAACATACCCTCATCCAACCTATTGCAGTTAGATGCAGCCCAGGATTCGGAGAGTAGGAAGTCTCGTGGAATGCTGTGGATCAAAGGTGGAGAGTTAAAACTTTTGAAGAAATGACATTTAAAATAATTATATCATGTGTACCTTGCCATACTTTCTATATTAAAATCTGATCATGTTCCATGTTTAAAACATTATACTGGTTTATCATTGTTCTTGAGATGGAACCTCTCCTTACAGACCATCTGTAACCAAGTCCTATCTCTCCAGCACTTGCAAAGAACTTCTTTGCCCTAACTGTGTCTCTTATAGACAGATTGGTATTTCTAGTTGGTTTTAGACATCCAGTCTTCTTAATGCTAGATTTTCTACTTATACTACTATATTAGCCAGCTTTCATCACTGTGACAAAATACTGGATATACTCAACTTAAAAGAAAGGAATATCTTTCAGTTCTTCAGATTTCAGTCCACAGTTGCCCAGCCCTGTTGCTATGGGCCTGTGGTGAGGTAGATCGTGATAGTACGGGTGCATGGCATAGGAACCTTTTTCTACTTATACTACTACAATTTTTGTGATCAAATAACTTTAAAAAAATAAAATCATTGATATGTATAAATACAATTTCATGTGTCTCACTGTGACATTTCCATACAAGCTTACATTGTACTTAATTACATTCAGTCTCCATGCTGCCTCCTTTCCCTCCCTCCCCCACCACCTTTGCCCCTTTCCCTTCGCTTAACATTTCCTCTTGTGTTTTCAGGTCACTTCTCTCGGCCTTTCCATGTATGAGAGAAGCCATACACCCGTGTCTTCATCTCGTTTATTTCATGTCACATGTTCTCCTCCAGTTCCATCCACTTCCCCCAAATGAAGGATTCCACTTGTTTGCAGCTGCCTGCTGCTCTGTGCATCCGCAGGGTCCCACCTTTTCATTCAGATCCCTCAACACAATTGTGGAATTCGGATATTTACATGAATCCAGTTTGCTTGTTTATTAGCTGGCTGCAGCATTTATGCAGACCTGGGCCATATGTCTCTTCTTCTGCGTCATTGCACCCTTCATGCTTAGCACAGGAAATGGCCCCTTGTAGATGGTTATCAAACAGTTGTTGACTGAAGACACCGTCAAACAGAAGGCACAGCTTTACTTTTATTCTGTCTGTCTCAAAGAGTTTGTTTTCCTAGTTTTAAAATGTTCACCTTTTGATTTGAATTTCAGTCAGAAAAGCATAAAGTGAGTGACTTGCTGGTGGATTCAATGTTAATTAAGCATACACATTGGGAGGAGCCTGGGATGTCCAGTGAGCCATGCCAAACTCAGTCCCTGGCACTGCCTCATTCACTACCCATGACCCTGAGCAAGTACCTAATTATCACTCCCAGAGTCCTTCACTGTAATTCATCTATTCAAGAGTTAGTATCCAAAGGGGCCTGATTAATTAGAAACTATACACCTCAATTATGATTGGGAATCAGTTCTTGCTTCTTAAAGACTCTCAGTCTGCAAAGGAAGTCAGTTGACCCTTGTTCCAGTTCATAACCTTAAGTAACCAATGCTAAACTCTGAAAGAACGAGACGCAGCTAACTGACTCTTTGTATAGATATTTGTGGAGTCATATCCCTTTCTTTCTCCCCTTCCTTTTTTCTCCTCTCCATCCATTTCCTTTCCCAACGTCCTTCTTGTGCTTGTGATTTTTTTAGTCTGATTTTTCAGTCTACAGTGGAGGCTCCTCCCCCCTCCCCATAACTTACCAGTGTAGACAAGAGGCACTGGAACAGAGATGAGAAAATCATAAGAAAGCCGAGACTGAAACTGTGGAGTGCCTCCAAGATGCAGCTCTGAGCTCAGCTGACCTGGAAACTTCACCCTTGGATTATCTGAGTTGAGGGAGCAAGGACCCTCTGAGAGGCCATCATTAGCTCAGGGTCTGCTCTCTCTCCAGAGAATTGCCCCTGTCTTAAGTGCTGTTGCCTCTTTGGTCTGATTTTAACTTTGGTTTTTTTTTTTTTGGTTTCTTTATTTTTTGTTGTTGTTGTTGTTTTTTATTCCACAGCAAACATCTCCATGAACTTCTTTATGTGAAGAACTATGCAAGACTGTAGTTTTTATGAGATTCTACGTAAGACTCAACCCTGTCATTCAAAAACAATAATGCGTATCAGGTGTGAAGCATATAGTATGTCACTTGGCATAGATTGTTTCATGTAATTGTCACAACATCCCTACTAGGAAAGGGATATTTTTTATCAGCGAGTTTATGTAACTTGTCCAAGGTCACAGACAATGATTGACAAAGCTGAGGTTCTCAGCCACAGAAGACTGATGTAGACTCAGAATTTAGCCTTTGTATTACATAGCTTCTCCTATTCATAGTCTAAGGAAGATACTTAATGCCTAACTACAGCCCAAAGCAGAAACACATACATATTCAAAGTGGATCACAAAGCAGGCTGAGAAACCATGAAGGACGAGAGCAGGATGAACAGGGCAGGCATTTGAAGAAGGGCAAAGCACCTTTGAGTAGAGAGAAGTATAGCAAAGACAGGCCACCCAGAGCTGTGTGGTAAGATGTCACTGTTACTAGAGCCCACAGTATGAGGTGTGATAGAATGCAATGAGGGGGAGGGGGAGGGTGGAAACTGACTTTCTTTCAAAGTGAAACCTATTTATGTATTTACTTATCTATCTATCTATCTATCTATCTATCTATTTTGAGACAGGATTTCTAGCCAGGACAGGCCTCAAACTCGTATCTAACTGACCTCTAATTTCTGATCCTCCTGGCTCCAAGTGCTGGGATTATAGGCATGTGTCACCACATTTGGTTTATAAGGTGACAACTCTTAACTGTATAGAGATGAACTATTACACTAAAGAGAGAGGGACACCCCAGGTGTCCTACAGGGCTGTTATTATCCTAGATTCCATCTTCTGTGACACAGTTTCAGATTAAAGAATGGTGACATTATGTTGATACAGCCTTTTCTCTGAAAGAGATCTAAAATCACATAGAACCTTGATGCTAGGTCTCTTGCTAATGGCCAGCCAGCCATGGTTCCCCAATACTTACCCTTTGCTTTTTCGTTCAGCTCTTACAGGAAGCCACCATGAGCTCTCTCTGGTGTTCGGGGACTGGAGATGTCATCGAGGACTGGTGTCGATGTGACTCTACTGCTTTTGGAGCTGACGGACTCCCTACCTGTGCGCCCCTCCCACAGCCTGTGTATGGTTCCTTTCCATGCCCCTCTCCTGCATGTATGCCTCGGCATCATTATGCAAAAATAGAATTGAGTAGATATTAGTCTCACTGTAATAGCCTGAGTGCTGGGAATTGGAAAGAAGAATGTGGTACAGTTCCCACCACTGGGAACTTTCCGTATAATAGAAGGAGCAGGCACACAAGCTGTTTCATGTCACAAGTAGTGTGACAAATCTTCACATTTTTAAAATGTGAAGAGCTGTTCATTGAACCTGTGTTTGGGCGACAATAAAGACTTTATGGAGCAAATAGCAATTAAACATCTTCCATATGGAGGACAAAGCAAGACAGTATGGTTAGAAGGTCGCACAAGTAGCGGTATCATTGCTACAGGGGAACTTAGAGGTCTATAGTGAGGGCTTAATAAGACTAACAACACCACCATGTCTCAAAGACTTCCTGGGTGCCAGACACTACATGGAGTAGGTAAACACTCTCATCGCCACACCATCAATTAATGGACAAGGAGATGACTTCAAGAGGATTGAATTTTTCCAAAGTTACAGAGCAAGAAGAAGATCATGGCTGAGAGCAACTGTAATACCAGAGAGCATGAAATTGAAATGATTTTGGGTAGAACCAACAGGGCAAGATGACTGTTAACTGTGAGGATGAACCATAGCTGAGAAGGGCCCTATCAGGAGGTGTGCAGAGTTGAAGAGACAGCCAATCCCATTTGAGCTTGTCCTTGAGCTATCGAGGGATAATTGTGTAAATAATTCAGTAGGCAGAGAGACAGGTAGAGCTCTGTGAAAGAAATAAAACCTAGAGATAACAAGATTTCAATCAATCTCAGAAAAATGGTAGACAGAGTCACAGCTTTGAAGATGGGTGCTCTGTAAGCGACGCACACTGTGAAGGGTGGAGGCCTGGGATGGACATGAGGGAATGTCTGTATTGAAGGGACGACGGCATGAGGTGCTTCAGAGGTGGCTAAGAATGAACACATCCAAATTCCTAACCCTTCATGGGAATCTTAAATAGAACTGGCCAAGATGAGGAGCCAAGGGCCAATGTAGGAATTCAGGTTGTCCTATAATAAAGTGTCTTCCTCAGTGGTTAAGGCACAAAATGTTATTTCTGTGAAATAGTGCTGGTAGGACGAGGTGGTGGGCATCACATGACCCCATAGGTTCATAAGGCCAGAAAAGCCCAAAGTGAGTCTATTGGTGAAATTATTAAGGCCACTCCACGTAGTTAAAAGGAGATTTATTTAATGGTGTAACTTACAAGTTAAGGGATAGGTAGGTCTCGGGGTCTGGGGAAGGTGTATCGCAGTCCAGCGGTGTTCTCTGGAGCTCTGCTTGGCCCACCTTCACTGTCCAAGGTCCCGGAACAGAGTGAGAGTGCAGCCCATCCAGATCTCAGGTCCCCAGGCACCTCCCTTGGCCCTGCCTTGTAGGCGTGACAGTTGCCAAAGTCTCAATGGGGGTTGGAACTTCCAGATCAAAGCTGGAATGGCTACCCACTACATGAGTCAAGACCTGTGGTAGTTACAAAGAACACTGGACTGTAGGCAGGAATCTCCTGGTGGAGGCTGTCCTCTGACCTGTCCACAAGGTAGGGTAGAGACAGAACTGAGGAAAAGGGTAATGCTTACCAACAGAGCATCAGTGGAAGCCAGTTTATTCTCTATGTAGGTACCTTTAAATACTCTAGCCATTGGCTTCTTGCTCCATGGAGTCAATACTCGAATCTCTGAATCAAAATATTTATTTTGATTAGTAAAAGCCATTTAAACGCAACAGGTAAGAAAGCTACCCGATAACATGGAAATCATGGAATGGAGGGAGACAAGATCGAGCCATGATGTCCTAAGGCTTCTTTCATCTCTAAACATGCATTAACTAATTGTGATAATTAAATATCAAGCTGAGCTGGGTGTTGTACATGGGAAATGTCTATTAAAACTGCCCTTTTCTCGTCAGCAACAGATCTTAATTTTTTGCACTTTAATTGGTAGTTGAAAATAGTAATGTACTGTACTTTTACATAAGCCCACGTAAATCATACACACTTCTATTTCTCAACAGGGGCTGGCCTTGGTTCCTATTTTCACAGAATCTGAGTTCTCAGAAAGCTTAGTTACTAACTTAAGCCTCCTAATGTTCTTTTTCTTCAAAATAGCATTCTGCATATGACTCTAATTAATGAATTTGTCAATATCCGCACTGTTTTGGGTCTCTTCCATCCTAATGTCATATGCAAACTATGCACTCCTTCATAGTAGCCACTAGCAGATGACCATGTGTTTCCTATTATTTTCCTACTAGTTGAACTGCTTCCTGTTCCCCAAACAGCATCCCGTGATTTCATGCTAAAGTTTTTATCACATTCATAATTGTGTGTTTCTGATACTTATTAAATTGCAGAAAAGATGGACTGGCATGGGTTTGTGTACCACTGCACAACCTTGTAATGAACAAACCCCATGAACAGATTTGTTGAGTTGAAACTGGACGTTTCAGGTTGCTTGATGTGATCCAGCTCTGCTCTTTCATCCTTTGGTCTTGAGACCATGAGAGGCACCTTGTGAGCTGGGTAGAAGGGGGGAAGGCCAGGGCTGCAGACAGTTCTGAGATGGAGGGACCAAGGACAAGGCCATGGGTGAATGCTAGGGATATTGTGAGAGAGGGAGACTAGAGTGAGCACAGCCTGGGAGACTCTACACTTGAGTGGTCTGGAGAGAAACGAGGAATTGGAAGCAGGAAGGCAACATGAGCCATATACAAGAAGTCAGAACAAGGAAGCAAACTGACAGCATTTGAGCAGTCAGGAGAGCCACAATGGTGAGCATCAGCGTTGGCAACTGACTCTCTCCAATGTGCAGGAGGTGTGAGATAGCAGGGCAAAGCAGTGGTTAAGAGACAACTTGAAAAGAATGAAGCAGCTGTGAACTGAAAATCGAGACAAATTGGGACTGAAACAGGAGCCAGGGTTCAGAGGCACCCAAAAGGATACACAGAAACTGATGCCAGGTCCTAAGCAGGAGTCTCAGGACATCACCCCAAAGAGAATAGCCCATGGCCAACTTTCTCCTTTTAGCCTTTCTGCTAAGATGAGCCTCTCTGAGGTTCAGTCAGCAGGTGGACTGGAGAAGGAGACATATCAGAAGGAGGAGGGGGGTCAGGGCCCGCCAGATCCTGGTGGTTATGGAACTTAAACTAACTGTGCCTTTATTAATGCAAGATTCTCTTGGATGCCACGTTCAGTGGGCTTTGAAGTGCACATTGCACAATATTTGCTTAGTATTCCTCAAGAGAAAAGCCAGAAATTATATTTCAAAATATATAAAAGAGACCCATCAGTAAAGCCCAACTCCCAAACACATGTACTATGTAGACAACCATTGATCTTCACTCCTTTACTTATTTATTCATTCACAAGATTCAAATATAAACTGCGTAAGTCTTTGGGAACTTTAGAATCTAGTGAGAGAGACGAATACTCCGAGAGAGTCTGTACTGTGGCAATTGAGACGGTAACTAAAGAGTGATTCAGGTTCCACTGGGTTCCCATTTCATGTTCCCTCTTTTCTGCTGTCAGGCTGAGACTTTCCACAGTACATGAACCCAGCAGCACCCTTGTGGTCCTGGAGTGGGAGCATTCAGAACCACCAATTGGAGTGCAGATTGTAGATTACCTGATCCGTCAAGAGAAAGTCACTGACCGGATGGACCACTCCAAAGTCGAGACAGGTGAGCACAGTCTCCATCCCCTGGGCTAGTCTTGTTCTAAGGTAGTAAAAGGAAAAGAAAAAAGGAATGCTCTTCCTCGTGCCATTGCTCCAGGCTCCCAGTGTTTTAGAGCAGCACATGGAAGAATGGAAAAGTAATAGCTAATGCTCTTCTAGGCAGCAGCCATCTAGTCCATTTAGAGTTTTTGCATGGTGAGCATCTGACAGTCTTGTTTTGATTTTGCTTTTCTTTTATTTATAAAAGAGGTGTCCATTTCATTGCCTCTAGGCACAGTCACAGGCAACAACAACACAGTACACTAGTTATCCTAGCCCACAATTAAGAAACAATTCTCTGCTAACCACGGCCATGATTACAGAAAAAAAAATTCCTTTGCTAATAACCCCCTCTAGGCAAAGGCATGTGCAAACAGATGCTCTTGATCCATGTCTTGTCCTAAAGCAAACTGACTTTTGTCAAGTCCTGAGAGAAAAGGGGAGCCTCACATGAATGGAAATAACCCACAGAAATAAAAGTCTCATGCCTTACTATTCTACTACCTGCCCATAGAGAAAAGTCAACATAAACAAACCCAAGACTTTCACATAAATATGGTCCTCTTTGGGGATGAAGATACCCATAATCTAAGAGCATCTAGTGAACTTGGTGATGAGGTTTGGAGAAACATCTTTGGGGCATGGAAAGCTCTCCATTGCTGTTTCTGAGGCTCTTCCCTTGGTAAGTACAGGTACTGCTAAGGTATGTTAGGGCCCAGGGACCTGCACATCTGTTCTCTCACTGCCAAGGTGTTTCATGGAAAAAGTTCACAGATGTGGCCTGTACATTTTGCCTTAGTAGTCCTTGAGCTGACTCTGGACAAATGACTCTCGGCTGACTGGCTAACAGTGAAACGGTTAGAAAAAAAACATTTCCTCCAAGATCTCCTTCATCCACTAGGAACTGAAGGGGTTTCAGCAAGTTCTCATAGCATTGCCCTTGCTTGGGCATCACTGTGTTTCATACTTTTCCCATTCTCTTTCATTTATGCAGAAACAGTGCTGAGCTTTGTAGACGACATCATCTCTGGAGCAAAGGCTCCATGTGCCATGCCGTCTCAGGTGCCAGACAAGCAGCTCACCACCATTTCTCTCATCATCCGATGCCTGGAACCTGACACCATTTACATGTAAGTAGCACAGACCTTAATGATTCCTTACCCAGAAAGTCCTGGGATATTTGCTGGCCCCCCTCTGTTACCTGAGTTCTGTCAGAGACTTGGAAAGAGATGTTTTAGTCTCTGTAGTCATATCTCAGTAGGCATTATGGAGAAACTTCCTGAAGAAGTCTTGTCATCAAAGGGTTTACAATCTACAGAGGACATAGATAAACAGATAATTATAAACCAAGGCAGAGTGGATTACGTGTTACTTAGAAAGGCCAGGGACATGTTGGAAAGAAAGAAGGAAGTAGTTTTTCTAAGTAGAGTTGGTGTCTAGATTCTAAATTTGGTTGTATAGAATCCGTCCAATAGCTACTGTGAAGTGGGAAAGGCAGGTTAGAAAGCCCCAGAGCAAAGGTAGAGAGGCATGAAGGGAGGCAGTGGGTGGTCCGACAGGTCTGAAGCAGATGGTGAGTGAAAAGAAAGCGGAAGAAAATGAGCCTGGGAGACTGGAGTGAACGCTGTGTGTCAGAGAAAAGCTTTTTTTTTTTTTAAGAAAGGAGGACAACGCCAAGAACTATGTGTTAGAAAGCTATCTCTAGTGGCTCTGAAATAATTTATAGAGTTTAGATGCTCGTCAGCATTTTTCTTCAAAGAAAATATAGTGAATTATATCACCATGCTTGGAACATCCCTATGTTCTTTGTGAACTCTTCCCATCCCTTCCTGTGCTCTGGGAACAACTGTAAAATATTTGTGAGCAGATACATAAAAGATGCCAAAAGAGGAGATTCAGTGATAGAATCTAAGTCATGATGGAAACATTCAGGGTCTAACGCAGAATTCATAGTGATACAGTTTGGAAGCTTTTTGACCCCCTCAGTATGAAAAACATCTAACAGTTTACAGATGAGGTCACAGGCATAGAGTCAAGGTTTCCAGAATAAATCATCTCCACTTCCACTCTTAAAGGAGTTAGTTCAAAGATGCGAAGAACTAGAAATCTGAGTGCCATTGATTGTGATAAACTTAGATATTTAGCCGTGCGTCTTTCAAATAGAAAGAAGAGATGTCACTCAGGGCTGTTAAGTAAAACACATAAAGACAAATGATACCTGAGAATCTGGAATGGATGCACACACAAGGATGACAATTCCAATACCATAGACTATCTGTCTGCTCTGGACAAGGATGCTGTGATCCATACCAGCTCTCTTGATAGTGGCCCTTCAGAGTAAGGGCTCATGACAAAGGAACACAGATCTGGGACTGAAGGCCAGCAACCTGCTTTTAAAAGTCTCATAATGTGACTCATATGATCATTTATAATGGGGGTGCACTAACACCTATGGGTACATCCTACCTGTTAATTAGGAAGTTAGAAGTTCTAGTGGAGCAAGAGGTAAGCAATGCTCTCCTTCAGAAAGACGCTTACCAAGTCTAGAACCTTCCTCAAGTTGGCCTGATTTGGCTTTGTTTTCTGGTCAAAGACCTAAGGGTTAGGATTTTCTCCCACATTCAACATTCTTTGTGATCTAGTGTCCACTTCCTGTGTTTTGTAAATCACCTACTTCCTGTCAGTGTTGATTACAGGATTGGGAGAGACACACAGGGATAAAGGGCAGCCAGTTTCCACTAGGTGGCAGTGCAGATCGCTGGAAAAAGCTAGCTGAAACTCAGCTGTAACTTCCTAACACCCAGTGGGACCAGCTCTTGCTCTAGCAAGATGATGATCCTAGATCCTGGCAAAATAACCTGGAGTGGCCTGAACACAAGACCCAGTGTGTGGGGGAAAGAGTGATGTGGGCTAGAAGCCACAATATTCCTCTTTGTTGAGGAGCAAGGAATACTTGTACCTCCATCCCTGGCACAAAGAAAGCATCCAGAAAGCCTGGTTTTGCGCCTAACCATAAAGCAACTTCAAATAGGACCCTTAGCTTCTCTGCACTTGATTTTTCTTACCTACAAATTAAGAAGAAGGTACCCATCATTTATGGAGAGCTGGCCCTGTGTGACTAGACTTATTCCTATTTTATAGCTGAAGAAACTGAGGCTCAGTAGAATTGAATAACTTCCCTGAGAACCACACAGTAGGGATGTAAATAATGGTTAGGAATTGATACGGGGTTTGTTTACTTTTTTTCATCACACTGGGTCTTTTGTCCAGGCCACCCCACTTTATTCTGCCAGGATCTAGGAACATTATCCTGCATGGTCCGCACTGGGGATTATGAAGCTGCATCTGAACTTCAGCTTTCTCTGTCATATATTTCATTTAATGCCACTTGAGAAGCGTTCCGACAATGGACCCCGTGGCACAAACCCAGTTAAGAACCCCTTAAAGTATCTAGGAGCCAACATCTTCACTTTAGAGTGGGGAGGGGATCACCGTCCGCTCTCACTCCCCTCTCACCACGCCGCTAGCTGGCAGGAGAGCCCTGCATTTCTGAGCACATTACAGCAGCTGGTAGAGGAAGGTGTCTGAAGCAGAGGATTAGCATAGCCACCACTTGCGGCAGGAGGAAAGCGAGAAGCAGCAGGCGATGTAGCCAGCCCCTGACAGGCTTACGGTCTTCCTTAGCATTCGGCTCCAGGCCTTTAAGGGCCAGGCCTGGGGCCTGAGCCAGTCTGTGTCAGTTCCCACGCACACATGCCTCCACCGTGTCATCACCGCGTCGCTAACTACGCACTGAAAGGTCCCAGCCTGCGACTGGGGAGAGAGCCCAGAAGCGTTGGAAGCAGCAGTAAACGGACTTACACATGAGCCCTCTGGATCTGGAGCGAGGCTTATCTCCTCTGTCAATAATTCCAGCTAACCCTCTTGCTGTCTTATGAGAGGGCTACGGCCGACGGGATGAAAACGCTAACAACAAACAGAGAAGGCCTTCCCGAAATGGTAGCACGTGGCATTTCCACATGAAAATGTGGAAAGTGCTCCCCAGCCTTCAGTAGTCAAATACCCTAGTTTATCTCCACCACCCCCCAGGGGTGGGGGATAGAATGGGGCAGAGGAGGGAAGGACTGGGAGTGTGGGACACAGGGGAAGCTGGGCCTGCTGAGGAATAGTTCTTAAGGTCAAGTTCTGTCTGCACTTGGAAGATTGTGTGAGGCATTTCCTTTCCTAATATCTGCCTTGTATTAAAAATAAAATGTGCTACTAAATAATCAGAGCTTAGCAGCTTGCATTTCATACTAACTGCCTTTCAAAGTATGTGAGACTAAATGCAAACAGGGGCATCTTTGTCCCAGCTCGGGATCTGATACAATGTAGCTGGAACTTACAGCAAGACAAGATAGGAAGGAGAGCTGCCTGGAGTGTAGGCTAGTGGGAGGTTGGTGACTGACTCCATCCCAGGAACTGAAAGACAGGCTCCATCTGTCGGTCAATTTGGTACTGAAGGAATAGGATATCATAGTCCAGAGAAACTTAAGGATTAAGGGTCCGGGATTAAATTATGATGGGCTGCAAACAGTGTCTCCAGCCATGGAGCTGAGGTTGGTGCCTTCAGCTTCAGCTTACTGGCAGGTGGCAGTGGGAGACACGCTGGAGCCTAAGCTGAAGTTGTAGGGCTGAAGGAAAAAGATCTGCTACCTATGAGCACTAGAGCAACAGGGCTACACCTGTAAGCCAAGACCATGCCCAAGCCAGCCTGGAGCGTCAGCCTGCAAAGCCCCGACCTTTGCATCTGCTGGTTCCCCCGACAACAGCTGCTAGAAGTGACAGACTCTGTAACAGAGAGCAAACCTTGGAGCCCAAGAAGAAGAAAAATAGATCCCACTCCCTGCAAAGGGGTCTCAGATCCCCAAAGTATAGATTTGTTCTATACTGAATCCCAGCTTAACACACTATTAGGGGTCACAAAGAACGTGACTTAACATGGGAATCACACACCATGAGGTGTAAGTGCATGGGGGTAGCCCATGGTACCTCTAGGTCTACCCCTCAGAACCTTAGCTGAATGTGCTCTGAGACTGGGTTAACAAATTGGACTCAGAAATGGATCTGTTTCCAAAAGTTCCGGTGTACCAGCTACAGGTTCTGGGGGTCTGGGGAACCATTCTAGAAATACGGCCAAGAAGCTGATGAGGCACACAGAGCCAAATGAGAGAACATATGGCTGCCAGGGCTAGGGTGCAGATAAGGAGTGTCAGTGCAGCCCCATGCCCTCCCCGGGAAGGCATGGCAAGAGAAGGGTGGCAAGATGTTTGGTTTGGAATCGGGGTGCACATGGTAGGGGAGGGCTGTTGGCGGTGGCGCTACTGGGGAAGGCCATTGAGCAGGGCTTAGGAGCAGGGCATAAGGTAAACATGGTGGGGTGGTCTGAACCCTCACTGTTGATAAGAAAGAAAGCTGAATGGTTGGCCCTGGCCCAATAGCTGAGAAGCCCTTAGGCACCCAACAGCTATGATCTACCCCATGCCCTTTGGATTTAAGCAGGTTGTCACATTTTAGGTCTTACTAGACCAGGCGTCTTGATAGGGTGAAGCCTGCCTATGTGAGGACCCCATGACATTGGCATGAGTTGAGGGAGGAAGAGAAGGGCACATGGCCTCTCTGGGCATTCAGGTCCTCACTCTGACAATCCTTTGTGCTTCTGTGTGAGGAAGGAAGAGTGGGCATGAGATCATCTCTCTTTTGAACACCATTTTTTGGGGGAAGAATAATTAAGTAGTATAATAAATAAATAATTTGAGAAGAAAGAAAAGAAAAAACAACACGAGTCACCTGGAAGTCTCAAGGCTTGGGAAAGCACGGGTTTCTAGTCCCTGTATCAGATTGAGTAGGTCTGAGCTGGGTCTGAGAATTTTCAGTAATGGGCCTGAGATTGCATGTGGATTGAAGTGGCCTGGGGATTCCATGTGGAGATGAAGTGTCCCTCACTATGATGCTTTCCATCAGACAGCCCTCAAGACAGCATATCCCAACCACTGACCACAGGAAGCAGTCAGAGGCTTCATGCCACTGCTTTCCAACAAGAGTGCTAGATGGGAGCAGTAAGTGTCCCGACCTGCTATTCAGACAAAGCTGGGCCTCCAGACACAGCACTCAGCCCCAACCGCCAGACATGTCCTCTCTAGTAATGCTACCTTCGTACCTCTCTGCCAGGTTCACCCTCTGGGGAGTCGACAACACAGGGCGACGCTCCAGGCCAAGTGATGTGATCGTGAAGACCCCGTGTCCTGTGGTGGATGATGGCAAAGCCCAAGGTAAGGGACGCTGAAGTTAGCAATGCCTACACATGATGGCCCAACCATCTATCCTTGCCATGCTGAGGAACCAGTAACCAAAGGAGTGGACAGCATGACCTGGAGTTTGACAGGAAGGAAGAATCCAGGCTCAAGGTAGAACCTTGGGCTTTCTGTCAGTACCATTGGGCCTGTGCACTCTGACAGAAGGTTTCACTGTATTCTGTTATCCCATACAATTATCTCAAAAGACAGGAGTCAACAACAGACATTGATAAAGTCCCCAGGAATGTAGGGGCTTAGGTCCATGCAAAAGATCCTGTCATCTCTGGCCTCACAGATGGATCACTTGCTCTCTTTGGGATTTGTACATCTGAAGGTTTGTTCTGAGCTAAGGCAAACAAAGCTGCAGACTTGGAATTGATCAGTTATCAGCGCCTCCTTCGATGCACCCAAGTCTCTAACTCCATACTTTGAGGTTATTATGCATCAGTTCTTCAATGTAAGCTCCCTCACTGGCACTGGTCCTGGTCCACTAGGAAGTTTTTCCTCAACCATCATCCAGCACACATGAGATGTTCCCTGGATGGTCTGGGCATCATCCCCTGCTCTAAAGTTTTCACATCTCTGAAGCCAGAATTCTTAAGTTACGCTTCCCACTTCTACAGGGCTCCAGCACCAATGAAGGTGTTACTGTAAGGCCCTAACATCTATTAGGCAGAACTGAAATTGAAGTCTTTTTTTCAGCAGAGACATTGAATACTTTGGTTACGCAGATTCCAGTCATGGACAGAACATGGCTAAGCTAATTTTCTGATGCCCCTCATTATCTTACATATAGTTCTTGGTTATGAACATATCATTTTAACCAAGAGGGACATAGTCCCAGAATGCTGCAGGGTGACACCATGATGAAAATCACTGGAGAGGAGTGATCTAGACCTACGTTACTTCATCTGTTTTTTGAAGATCAAGCAAGCGGGATTTTATTGGAAAGTAAAATGACAGTTCCCTGCAGTAGGGATGGGGTCCCTAAAATGGGCTGCCCACCTAGCTCTGCTTTAATTAAAACCATCGATCTTTTAGCACAGTACAACTTTGGAAAATATTTTCATAGTTAATCATATTGGCATGTCATAGGCACAGTATTTTCAAAGACATCTGACTGTAATAAAATACGCTCTAATAACAATCCCTTAATGGACTGCCATTCTTCTTATGGCATGAATATTTAAAAGGTCTGTTGGGACCTAAGTGGGTGACCCTGTCTATTTCTTCAGCACCTACTTGCCAACTCTCCACTACCCTATCAGTCTCTTCGTTCTGGCCATACTGCCTTCCTCAATTCCCCTTTGACAGGTCTCTCTCACTTTTATTATAGGGTCATTGCATATGTTAGGCCCTGTTACTTCAAATGCTCTGTACCTTTCCAAATGACTAACTCATCTCAGCATGAAAAAGTAGATCAAGTGTCTCTTCCTCACAGGAGAAGAGGTCAAGAACCACTGTTACGTGCCCTCACAGTACTGTGTTTCTGGCCTTCAGAATATTTAAGTTTTTATAATGATGTGCACAGTGTCTTTTGACCTCACCAGCCAGTGAGTGTCATGAAGGCCTGAGTCAAGTCTCCTTTTCTGCTCTGTGTGTCCTTAATATCTAGAAGGCAGTATACTTGACTGACAGCTCACATAAGAACTTAGCTGGAACCAACAGCCTAAATTCAAATTCCTGATCCACCATCTACTTACTTGATCTTGAACAGGTTACTTTATCCCATGCCTCAGTTTACTCATATATGGAATGAGGAAAATGGTAACCCCAATATGAAGGGTCTAGTGAGAATTGAATGAAATCATTAACTTAAACTAGTAAAAGCAAAATGGTGCTTGGTACATAGTAAATATTAAGTAGATGTGTTAGGAACAAGTTATTATTAACCAAGCAGAAAGCCTGCCTTCTGATAGAAACTCAATATTCTATGTATGAAGCAATGAACACAACACTGCCCTCATTTTACATATGATGAAATTGAAATTCAGAGTAAAGTAAATAAGGTGCCTGAGGTTACAAAGAACCTAATGGAAACCACACACAGAGCCCGTATTTGACCCCAATGCCCATTTATTTTTATAGTGTTTCCAGGACAAATGGAGAGTGTTTCTAGGTGAAAGATTCAACAGGACGTTGTCTCTGCAAACTGGTGAGGAAAGGGACTACTGCAAAAGAGATAGCAAGAATTCTCCCTTTTAGGGCTATGTGCAATGGGATACAATGGAAGAACAGAAACCACACATATGAGGCAGGTGTACTGCTCGCTAGTGGGAGAGGCTGGCTTACAGGATCTGAGCCTTGGAGGTCTCTTAAGCTCCATGAAAGTAAAGAAAGACAGGGTCTGGATCACACACCTCAAATGTGAGTCTGTCTAGGGGGATCTGTAGCACCTCCAGGTACTGTTTGTGAAAGTTCCTTTCTTTTTTTTTTTTTTTTTTTTTTTTTTTTTGGTTTTTCGAGACAGGGTTTCTCTGTGTAGCTTTGTGCCTCTCCTGGAACTCACTTGGTAGCCCAGGCTGGCCTCGAACTCACAGAGATCCGCCTGGCTCTGCCTCCCGAGTGCTGGGATTAAAGGCGTGCACCACCACCGCCCGGCTGAAAGTTCCTTTCTATCTGGTGTTCACTGGTGTCTTTGGAGAGACGAAAGCTACTGTGGAGCTGCTGGGTGAGTAGAAAGCAGCAAGGAGGAGATTAGCAGAGGAAATGATGTCTTGATAATGTCTACAGGACATGTGGTAGAGAGCAGCTCTTTCTCTGGAGAGCTCCTGTCTGTCAGTTCTAGTACAGGAGGTTTGAATGGGTTCTCTACCTGCTTTCGCTTCCTAATAAAAGAACTGGAGACACAAGAAGACAATTTAGTGCAGAGAGGATAAAATCACAATCTCAGGTCCTGTTATCCTTCAGCTAGGAAGGAGTCCTGCACAGAGCAAGTCTGGAGATTAATGAGTTAGACTAATTGAGGGCATCCTTGCAAATTAATACAGTTCTACCAAAGAAAAATCCCATATGCTTTGTCTCCCTCAAATCCAGATGGTGATCATAAATATAGCCCATTTGGGTCTGAGCTTAAATCTAAGGACAGATAGGAATTTGACTCAGTGTGATGTCAGCTCCCAGATACTATCCCTCATGTGAGCATTTATCTAAAGCTAGTGAGATACATTCTAAGAAGAATTTTACCATGTCATAACACTACAGCCACTATGTAAGTATGTTTCTGCTGCCTTTTTACTGAAACCAGCCTCCTGGAGCTGAAGAAAGCATATATTAGTAATAAGATAAACCTTTTCATCTAGAAGGTTGAGTCATGAGGTCCTGCAAGTTCACCGTGGAATCTCACCAAGGGAAGGCTAGTTCTTATCCTTTGTTCCTTCAGCAGCTGAGCACCTTTCTTGATGCGACCCAAATGCATCCATTCCTTTATTTCATTCTCCCACAGGTGTGTTTGGATCTTGGTATTAGTCACTGAATAGACATTTATCAGATGCTAGCATTGGACTCAGAATCAATTGTCAAGAATTTTGTAATCAATTTCATGGATTTATTAGCTCATCCAACAAATATTTAGTACTTACTGAATATCTGTCCTAGGCATCAGGAGCAAAAATACTGTACCTTTATAACTATATCAGCAGGGGCCAAAGATAACAGCAACAAAATAATAAAATGCATATTTCAAATGATGCTGCCTGTCATGGAGATAATAAATGGGGCATGGTAGAAAATGGGCAGAGGTCAGAATTTGGGAAAGTAAGTGGAGGAGGAAGCCACACAAATATCTTTGCAAAGATCATTTCAGAAAGTAGCAGGGTAGAACTTGATGATGTTTGAAGACAAAGAAGGCTTGTGATTCCACATGCTTGGAAAAAAATGTGAAGGGCACTGATGGGCAGGAGTTCCCAGGGGTTCTGGGCATATTTAGTAATGTCTAATTATTGGTAGGAAAGGACTGTATCTGGCATTGTGATAGGATGCCCTAGAGGACTTGGGACAGAAGAGTGACATCATTACTAGATGTTTTAGAGGTCATTCTCACAGCTGTGGTAAGAACAGACCCAGAACATTCTAAAGTGGAAATGGAAGGCTATGGCAATCGATAAGCGATGGGGCTGCTGTTCATACCAGGGCAGCTATTGGACAGTTGTGAAGAGGTGATCTGAGCCTCGGTATGCGGACAGAAGAACAAACGCATTTATTTCTCAATAGGTTAAATGTGGAGCCTCTGGTTGAATGGTGTGTCATTTGTCCAGGAAAATTCCAGAAACATGGATGTGCAAAGATATGGTAGAAGAAAAGGGACTAAAAGAAGAAGAAACCTAACTCGAGGTGGTTGGGATCTCCAGTAGAGAAGGAAATGGGTTGAGGGGAAGCCTGTAGTGAATGGAGGAGCCAAAGCACTCAGGTGTTTGTTTGTTTGTTCCATCAAAGGATGATTGAGCACCAACATAAAATGCAGAAATTGTGAAATGAGGTTGTGTTGTGTTCGTAGTATGTGTTTTTAAGATTTGCTCTTTCAAAAGTGGAGCAGTTCTCAGGGACAATGATTGGCAGCTGAATGTCTTAAGGGGGCCTCTTCCATGAGGGGCAAAGCCACCCTTCATGGAAGTGGCAAAGAGGTGAATCAGAGACAAGGTTCTTCAGGGGATATAAGGGAGTGTTCAGGGAGTGAATGGGAGGAAATTTAAACTAAGCGAGTTTTGAAAATGAAGGCTTCTCAATATATGTGAGAGAGAAGGGATTGCTTCAGTTGGCTGTGAGGGACTGGAGGGCCATTCTCTTCAAGGACGTGGAAGAAGAATCAACATGTCCTGGAGAAGGCATAAAATAAGAAAACACAGAAATAAGGAGATAAGGAGGAGTATGTGCCCAAGTTGGGGGCAAAGTGAGAGTTGTTGCTTTGTGATAACTCTGGCCCCAGCGTAACATAAGGAAAGGTTCGAAAGAATGGGTTAGTGTACAGCATTGGTCTTCAAAATGTGGTGCCTAGATTAACCACATTGACATTACCCTGGATCTTGTCAGAAATGGGTGTTCTCAGTCTCCAAATCGGACACTCCAGTGGGAAACAGCAGCCATGTCTGGGGTAATGATGCTTCCCATGTGAGGATCACTGGTAGACTGGAAGCACAGGGCAGTTTGATTGGAAAGCATATCCAGAACTGGAGAGAGAAGAAGGGACCTTGCAACACGGGTAGTGCTAAGGACAAAGATACCAGGCCATTTGAGATTGTTTATCTTGTGTTCCCATGTGGAATTACATCATTCATTATTTCAGTGTGCGGCTGGGGTTTGTAGGTGGCTTCTGAGAAATGCTAAGTGATGAATTAGGATCTCTTGTCTGGGGGGACATTTTCTACAAAGCCAAGAAGACCATCAATCAAAGCTACAGATGTTTTCCACTGTTCCTAATTCAGATAAAAAGAGCAGCTATTACTGGGGGTCTAGAAAACTCACTTGTGGCTCTGAAGTTACTACCTCATTTTAATCATGCTGTTTTCCCCAGTCTCCTGGGATGCCGTGTTTTGCATCTTCTTTCTTTGCATCAAGAGAAACATGATCTATTGAGAAATCGGCAGTAGAAGCAAAAACACTATCTTTCCCTCCTTTCCCTTCATTCACCTGTTTCCATATGCACCTGCTCATTTCGTGCCCACTGTAATCTGAGAACCTTGGTGCTTGGACTTCTGGTCCCTGTGAATTCTTCAAAAGATGTTACACAGCTCATGCCCGCTCCTTCTCAGTATCTAACCCCAGTGCCCAACATGTCATGGAGATCCGGTGCAGACAACCCACTTAAGATAGCAAAGTCCTTCTCAATATTTCCATCCTTCCCATTCATACATTATTTCCTCACCTCCTAACACACTGCATTCCCCTTGTTTACATTCCATTGCTCACTTGACTATCTCCGATCACAACACTGCAAATACAGAGTGAGGATTTTTGTCAGATTCTTTCAGTTATGTGATTCCCAAGCACAGAAACATTCCAGGAATCACTAAGCATTCACTGATAATTTTATAAAATCGATGAATAAGTATAAAGTTACTGTGAGCAGATATTATACTAAATCAAAGTTTTGCATTCAGTAAACCTTTTATTCTCATGATAATCTTGGGAAGTGTATATCACTATCCATTATGGGAAAGACAGGAAAACTAAGGCCCAAAAGGGTTAAGTAATGTATCTAAGGCCAATACACAGGAACCTGAGTCTATTCAAAACTCTGATGGCTGCTCTTAGCCATACCTTTCAGTCTAACGGCTGCAGCCCAGCCCTGTTATTTTATCCCACTGTCCAAAAGATCTCAGATCCCTCCTAGTAACTCAGCCTCCCTTTTTTGCAATGAGGCTGTGTTGACAGTCTCCTTGACATCTTCTCACCTGCAATTTACTTGTTTCTAACTCATGTATATTAAAGAGAGGGGGGGACTTGAATTTGTCATGGATAACTGAAAACTTCTGTGAAGCTCAAAGCTAATAAAGTAATAATTTAAAATACCTGGCATTCTTTGAGTTGGTGAATTCTTGCAATCTATAACAGCTAATTGAAGTAAAATGTCTCAAAAATTTAATTAATAAAAAAAAAAGAATTGTTAAGGGAAAAGAGAAATCTCCATTCCCTCAGTGGAGATAGGAGGAGGCAGATGTGGTCATACTTTGGGAGCTGAAGCATGGGTCTTTCTGAGTATAAGATCCTGTTTACTGACAGGCTTGTAATCTTACCCTTCAGTTAGATTATCTTGGTTTTAGCAGATTTGTGGTGGAACTTGGTTTTGCCCACAGGATGCAGATATTGGCTTGTTCAACTAAAAATGACTAACTATTATGTTATGAGAGTGATTGGATGCACCAAGAATCACCACCTCTGTCGTGGCCATTTCTCAACAGTAAACAAGTAGAATCTGGAATCTGACACATTATCTCCCACTGCAAGAAACATTGTTTGGCATCCCTGCATCAGTCAGAGAGGAATTCCAAATCACCCCATCTAAGCTGCAATCTGAGCACCAATGGTTTTCCTTTCCTACCCATTCTTGTCTCAGCAAAACACCCCCTGCCTTCCAACCAATACAAAGCAGTCATCAGAACTGGCCCTCTGTTTCCTTCTCTCCTAACTCCAGAAAAGACAGCCCCCACTCCCCGGCATACTTACAAGGGCTCCCCGCCCACATGTGCTCTATTGGAGACAGTTATCCCAAGATTCTGCCTCTTCCACCTTAAACTGTTTCTATGCTACTGATGACTGAGCATTGATGCAAAGAAGCCACAGGAAACACAGTTTAGAAGCTTCCCTGCAGCCCACAATAGCAATGTGACCTCGAGTTGGTAACCTCTAGCCTTGTCTGTCTCTTAATCTCATTTGTTGTGGGACGGATATGCATAAATCTGCAGTGAGGGGTGTGAGGATGTAAAGTTCTTAACCCATGACATGATTAAACCTTTCATAATAATGAGATATCATGAGATTTTAGTTTCTAAATTATTGTCTTCTTTATCTAAAAATCCCATTATAGCTGCCTGAGAATTTTAACAGCCTAAAAATCTAAATGGATTTCTGAAGGAGAGTCATGTGTAATGCAGCTGAATGTGTTGTCTGTAAGTTTCATTTCTAGGATTCGTGTAAACCAGCTTGGAGAGGGATCTCTTAGAAACCCTGCTGCCAAGTGGATTCAAGCTACACTCAAACTTATGAACTCCATTCTTTTAGCTAATAATTTCTGATCAGCCCTTTTGTCTGGTACAATACAGCTTCTGAGGATATCAAGGAAGTAAGGTCTAGCTCCTGTCCCCAAAATAATCAGTGTGATGTGGAGGCCAGCATTCGTTCCACCCACAAAACCCTCAGGTGGATCTGTCATTTACCAGTATTCTTAAATTCCCTTGGTAGTAGCACAAGGAGTCTTGTACTGGGATTGGTTAGTGGAGTCAAGTAGGCATAATTCTAATTTCCTCACCCAGGAACTCAATTTCTTCAACTCCAGAATTAACACACCCAAGGGAAAGCATTGCTCACTGCTCACTAGATGTTAGCTCTCGGATGTTTAGGCGGGACATGCAAAAAGCATCTCTTTTCTGATAGTTGTAATGAGAAAACATGTAATGATAAAATTCCTTCAGTTATGAAACAAAAAAAAGTCAAGACTATACAAGCTGTTACTGCTTTACCACATCACCAAACTCAGTCTTAGCCATGGAAACCTTTGAGGCGGAAATATCACAGATAAATCTTACTGAATGATTACTCATTTAGGATTGGGTAGTGATCTAGTTTGAGTTTCTAGATGTATACCGATCCCCATGTTACCTTTATGTCGGGCCTGCATGGTTCCAGCGAATGTTCTGCGTTCCAATGTCAGTGCCTCTCCTAATTCTTCTCATGGTTCAGAAGTATTACCTGGTGATGCCTCACTTTATCTGTGAGCCAAAGCCTGCCACCTGTGGCCTAGGCTTCTCTGATGCTCTTTAGAGAACCACTTGGTACCCAGATAAATGCTACCTACAGGTGTAAGTTTGTCATGTCGGTGTCTCATGAGAGCAAACTTGAGCCAGTGTTATATGGAAGCAAACTTGGACCAATCTCTAATGAGAGCTGAACATAAACTCTTTATTTCTCCCACTGTATGGCCCAGTAGTGATCCAGCAACTTCATAATCCTCTACTGCAAAATACAGCATTCAGGTTCATAGGAAGGCATTACCAGCTTCCTAATATAATCCTTTATATTTCCTCTCATTTCTTGCCTCATTGCCCTTTATCCCCAGCCTTACTTCTCTGGGATTACACTTTCCAATGAAGCATGAATATATGAGCTTTTGCCTCAGGTTATGTATTTTTTTTTTTAGAAAACCTTGGTAAGACAAAGAGTATTGCAGCTGAAATTGACCTTAGAGATGTAGTCAAAGGCATCTAATTTATTAAAGAAAAAACTGAAACCCAGTGGCACAGAGGTGGAGTGAGTTACACAAATCAATCTCACACTTTAGGGTCAGTGTTTTAAAATATCAACATGCACACATAAATAAAATGCATGTTTTTATTTACTGGCACACATACTGCACATACGTTGCATATAATTATACATATATAATTGATGGCTGAATGTTATGTAATATTTTAATCAGTTTAATATCAGACCACATATACCACAGTGGTCCCATGAGACTATAATGGAGCCACAAATTTCCTATGCACAGTAATGCTATAGCAGTCATGATGTAAGAGCAGAGTGCGTTCACACAGCCTTGTAGTGCTGATAGAAACAAATCTGCTGTGTTGCCATGTGTTAACACACATGACTGTGTGCACCGACTAATATTGATCATGATAATAAACAACTATCACTGGTTTGTGTATTTACTATTCTACACATATAATTATTTCAGACTGCACTCTACTTAGAAAATACCTTATTGTAAATAGTATAAACAAATATAAATAAAGCAGCAGCTGTGTAGAAATCTGTGTCTACCATGTCTCCTGATTGAGTCCTTTCTCTTGTTACTGTTTTAATCTTGTAGTGTTCACGATTCTAGAAGCAACAGGTTATGCCTTGAGTATATCACACGCCCTATATATAAGTAGACTGTGCCATCTAGATTTGTGTTGGTGTACTTTATACAATCTCTGCCTGGAGTTGAAATCACCTAATGATGCATTTCGCCAAGCACAACTGGACTTGCCTTTTCTTCCCCCTCAGAAATAGCAGACAAGATCTACAACCTCTTCAATGGCTACACCAGTGGAAAGGAGCAGCAGACTGCCTACAACACCCTTCTGGATCTGGGTTCCCCCACTTTGCATCGAGTCCTCTACCACTATAACCAGCACTATGAGAGTTTCGGGGAGTTCACCTGGCGGTGTGAGGATGAATTAGGACCCAGGTACTCAACGAACTGTGCAATTCTCTTTTAAACACTTATGGTGTCTGGTGTCTCTGTGCTGTGTTACTCTTTCATGGATGTTGCAGAGACTCCCTGAGAGATCTTAGATACTCAGAGAACTAAGTGCCATGCTGTACACAGCCCAGGCCATGTAGAAGGTTGAAGGTTTGGAATAAGCTCTTTTAAAGCAGTTGAGTCATGAATTCACATCCTGAACTCTGAAAATAAGCCTTTGCTCCTGATCTTGAGCTCACTAATACAGAATTCCAAATGCTAAATTTACAAGGAATGAAACCTCAGTCTTGTGAAAGGAAAGTAAAAGTTTTATTAAGGGGGTCATCAGAAAACATCTAGTGCACATGAATGCTATCTCTGTGAGGCACACTTTGGCATGTTCTTTCAAGATGGTATCAGAGAAGATGAGGCCTCCATTAAGGTGACATGATATGTGCCTACTTACTCCTGACCCAATCCTGTCACTTCCTAATACACAATCCATACTGTTTTCAGGTTGTAGAGCTCAGATAGAATTCCTGGAAAGCAGGCAATGAGGAATGTGCAGAGATATCACTTTCTGTTTTAGACCACTTATTATGACCGTATATTGAGATAGCAGGCTTTCCTGGAAATTCTGGAATTCTTAGATGTAATAAAGAGATGTGTTGCATAAAATTTAGAACCACAAATTATTCAAGAACTTATGAAAAATGAAAATAGGGCAAGGAAGGGCTGTGAGAATGGGAAAAGAGAGTGGAAGCCAAAGAGAAGGGAGGACAGGGTGTGGTGGAAGGCAGAGGACAGAAGGAGATGGGGGGAGGGGGAAAGAAAAGGAAGGTGGAAGGGAGTCAGGGAGAGGAGGCAAAATGAGGGAAATTGGTTCTGTAGTATTGAAAGGACCAAGCAGATGCCATGACAGGCTGTCAATCTTCTCTTGGAGATCAGGCCTTAATTTCAGTTTCCTGAGACTTGAGCAAGCAGTTTCCTGGAGGGCCATGAACAAAAGACCTGGCAGTAGCTCCCTTTCTGCATGTACTCTGACCGCTCAAGGTTCAGTCAATTGTTTACTGTCTGGGACCCCTCACCAAGTTAGAACTATGTGCGTGTGTCAATTACAGAGCCTGGGCCACTGAGTCAGTCTCCACAGTCAATAGATGCTAGGCCAGCCAGCCTCCATGGGAGCTCAAGGATAGAGCCTGGGACTTATCCAGGCCTGCCCAAAAATGATAACTGTAACCCCCAACTAGTAAATTCAAAGCTTACATAACCTCACCCAATCATATGACACAAAGGCTTGTACCACCCTGCTTGTGGTTTTTCCCTTTAAAAAAACTCCTCATTCTGAGAGCTCAGGGCCATCCTCCTCTACCCACTGTGCTGGAGTGTTGGACACAGATTAAGCCTGACTTGCTTGTAATCAATAAACCCCTGTGTGTTTTGCATTGGATATCAGCTGTGGTGGTCTTGCTCCGGGGTCTTGCAACATGGACACAACAGTATCCCTGCCCAACCCCTATCTCAGCTCTTAAGCCATTCTTACACTTTAGTCAAGAGGTAAAGCACAGTGTTCCCCAGAAGTCATCCCATCCCATTCATCTAACATCTGAGGACACTCACCTCAGTAGTTATAAATTTTCCCAGAAGACCGTTGTTCAGGATATTTCCCCTGTATTTCCTTCTTGTGTGTGTGTGTGTGTGTGTGTGTATGTGTGTGTGTGTGTGTGTGTGTGTGTATGTGTGTGTGTGTGTGTGTGTGTGTGTGTGTGTGTGTGTGTAAAAGTATGTACAGTGTGCAGATACACACATGTGTAGGTGTAGTTGGAGGCCAAAGGTCAACTTGGGCATTGCCCACCTGTCTCTACTTCTATGGGTCTGGGATTGCAATCTCAGCCTGCCCCAGCACACTGGTCTCTGAGGATTGCGCTCACATCTGCATGGCAAGCACTTTTTTTCACTGAGCCATGCTTCCAAGCTCTACTTTATTATTTTTGGAGGAAGTAGAAAATTCAGAGTATTCTTTCTGAAATAAAATGATTATTTGTATAAAGTCAGGCAGGATCTTGCTACACCCTGTAAGTTTTACCTGTAACTTCCAAGGAATAATAGACTTTGAACAAACAAAGCCACTGCTGTGGATTTAAGGGAAATACGTAGGGGGCAGTTAATCTGTCTTGTCTTAGTATTTTTAAGAAATAAATCCCGGCTCAGGATGTAAATAAATATTAAAGAATGTCCTTTCTACTCGACACCCTCTCTCTCCCCCGACCAGGTTATTGCTCACACCTGATAGATTCTCTAACCACCACCTCTCCGTCTACTCCTTCCTTTCCTTCTGCTCCTAGCGCCCCCTTTCCTCCCTTCCCTTCTTTTATCTGAGATTTATTGAGTATACACACACAGTTCTTTGCTAGGGAGCATAAATGCCACAATTTGAATAGCACTAACATTGCATATTTCATTGTTACTTCTGAGGGCATTTGAATCTTGAAAATTTCTCTTTTGTGACTCAAGACTCAGAAGGAAAATTGGTTAATGCAGAAAGTGAGCAGGGGAGGAAATGGGGTTGCCACTGTGGAGCACAGCCCGCTGTTGACTGTGCACTCTCTTCTCCACACTCTCCTCCCAGGGGCTCTCATGGGTAATACTGGTCTTTCACAAATACATAGTAGAAAACATTGTGTTATTCCATTAGTCCATGGAAACAAAGTCTTGGTTTTTAATGTCATGAATCTCAGGGAGAGCCACAGGAAAGGAAAAGTCCACTGCCTTGAGGGACATCAACTCACTCCCGGTTTAATTGTGAGAATGAATAAAAATGGGTCTGTGGGTACACACTTCCTGTTAGCAAACAGAAAGGATTCCCACAGTTCTGTTAGATCCAATTCTATTAAAACCTGAGGCTTCCAGACTGAGCTGAGGTTGCAGACACTCCGAGGACAACAGTGTTGCACCATTGCTAACAAAGAAGGCTGTTGACTCTGAGATGGTCAAGGGCAGACCCCAAGTAATTATTATTTAAAGAACAATCAGTGAGCAATGAAAACAGCAACAAAGACTCCATAGACTAATTCAATTCACTCTTTTGAAAGGCTACTGGGTTGTGCTCTGTCTGTTTCTGGAAGATGATGAGATGTTGTCCTCATTCCTTCTTCTGACCGCCCCCATCCCCAGCTTCTTCCAACTGCTCAGAATACTAGCTTATGACAAGACACAATGGAAGGATTAAGAGGAGAGGGCCACCAAAGCCCGGAATGGTGATGACTGTCAGAAAACCTGCCTGGCCAGACTCCAGAAGCTGATAAAGAAAGTACAAATCAACCTTCTGAGAGACTATTCAGTCAGCTGGTAGAGTGTTCCTTTGAGTTCCTCCAACCTACTATCATTGGAGAAAATCCAACTTCTTTCCAGTGAGGTCACACTGCTCTCAGCCCCTTGACTTTGCTGCTTGAAGCTTGACATCTTTACTCCAAAATCAACTTCACCCTCCTTTTTTCTGTAATTCTAGGAGTACAGTGATATCACTCCCCTCCCCGGCCCCCTGACAACACACTCATTGCCCAGATGAAGAGGAATTGAATGTAGTTATTCTTCTTTGAAATGTTTATTACAAATGAAATGCAGAAAAATTCCCATTTGTGTAAGGAGTTCTTTGTTAAAGCAGAAAAGAGATAATTCTTTGCACGAGTTTTCCAGCTTAGCAGTTAGCTAACCCTGCAAGGAGTTCTGTTCTGCAAGCTTTCTCGACAGCATTCTGAGCCTTCCATGAGCTTGCTCTAATAGGAGAATCATCTTCATGGCTCTCTGGCCACTTACATCTTTGAATAGAAAAGAAACACAACCAACTGAGGGACTCCCTTGTCCTAGATGCTTAGAGAGAAAGCCAACAACACAACCTGAGAACTGGCTTCCAGACGTCCTTTATCTCTGACACCGGAAAAAGGACCCAGCAGTCGTCCCAGTACTAACCATTTCACCAGGCTGTGTGCCAGAGGATCCCATATGCTAAGGAATCAGTGTTTTCAAATGTGTGTGTTTCTGGGCAACCTCGCTCTCCTCTCCCTCTTTTCCAGAGATCCTCGACGGCTCAGTTTCCCCCTCATCTGTTCCCTTCTCCTTGCTTGTTTTTGCAACTGGTGTTTAGTAGCAACAGCAATGGCCTTGTGGCTTTATGAAGGAGACAAAGAAGTGGAGCATGAGCTCCCCTGAAGGTTAATTAGGTGTTGTGTGCACCTGGGAGTCTGCTCTGTCCAAAATATGCTCCCGTGTCAATGCAAGCCAGAGCCGCATTGTCCTCAGGCTTATTGTACTATAATTACCTGAGCACAGGCATAATTGGTTACATCAGATACCCCTTTCATTCCATTATATTGACTGTTTTTTTTAATCAATTCAAATATCGCCTTGAAAGGGGAAATACTCATGCAAGTACATTACTTGTCATTTAGTGATGATAAATTACTGGCTTTATAGAACATTGGTTTGATTTCTTTCAATACTACAGACCCCATGATTTAAAAAGGTATATGTGCCCACTAAAATATTAGTTATTTATTTTCTCAGTTTATTTTTTTCTGGCTGCATCTGTTACTTCCATTTCCTATTTGTGCCTGCATCACTTTGCATGCCCATGCCATGTACTCATTCATTCATTGGACAGACAAGCATGAAGGATCTGCTGTGCTAAATAGAAAAGATAGTATGGTCAGCTCTACCCTCTTAAAATCAGGAGTCTTGATCTGGTAGTCATTTTTTTTTTCTGGCCTTCTCTTCTTGGTTTGTTTGTTCGTTTTCTGACAAAAGCGTTCTTTTCTGTTTGATCTGCAGGAAAGCAGGTCTCATCCTTTCCCAGCTTGGAGATCTGAGCAGCTGGTGCAATGGACTACTTCAGGAGCCCAAAATAAGCTTGAGGCGTGGTGCCCTCAAGTACCTGGGCTGCCGCTACAGTGAGATCAAGCCCTATGGACTGGACTGGTCAGAGCTCAGTCGGGACCTCAGGAAGACGTGTGAGGAACAGACCTTGAGTGTCCCCTACAATGACTATGGGGACAGCAAAGACATCTAACACCATGGGGCAAGGGAGTAGCTGCCAAAATAAAACAGGAGAGAAGAGGGGAACAACTGGGTTGGTTTGTGGATTTTTAGACATTTTTTTAATGGGACATCCAAAGCTCCACAGGTACCTTCTAAACCAGGAAGAAAGTGACCCTTGCTCCCTGCAGGCCTTGTCCAGTGTCATAATCTCCATCTGCATGATCAGTCAGCCTGACAGCCAGTAGCCTCATGCAGCACCGTTTTGTTTCCTTAGAAGATTACCTTGAAACTCACTCTGGTATTCATTTGCTTCATTCACTTTTTTTCCTTCAAGAAATTCACCAGGATGCTCAAGAGCTCTAACCTGCTTCCTACGAAAGGTCAAAGGTGGAGGTGCTCCTGTTAATGGGTTCCCACTGGCACCTCGGTACAGAAATGAACACGCAAATCTTCACCTGCCTTATGCCCCCGCTCCGGCATTTCTTAGGAAGCAGTGGGATGCTGGGAGTCAAGGCATGTGCTGAAGAAGATGAAGAGATGGCCCAGGTCTGTTTCCCACGGGTTTTCACCCAGACTCCTTTGTTGCTATTTCCACACCTCACGGGTGAACCCAGGTTCCGTTATGGGTCCAGTGGGTCTTATAGAGTTTTAGGTCTTCCCTCCTCCATGTTAAGCCAGGACTAGAATTTATGGTAGATTTCCGTCCTTTCTTCTAAACAAAATGATCTTTGAGAGGCAGTGAGGTATCACCTGTAAAATATAGCTCCAGAGAGGGCTACCTGCAAGACTACTTAGCAGACCCTGCTGCAGGGAATAAGAGGAGTTTGTTTTAAAATATTCATGCACTCCCAGACAACCAACAGAGATCTAAGAACCTTGATTCTGTTTAGTCCTGGGTCCCTTACTCTGGACAGAAAGGACTTGGTTTGATGTTTGATCTAATCAACAAATGAGACTCTTTCTTGTCAGTGTTTCAGTGAACTAAGGCTATTATCAATCTGAAAGGCACTTCTCTCCCTGTACAAATTTTCTTAATTATATTGTAAATTTTGACAGTCCTTTCTCTGAGGTCAGTCATCAGGATTCTGCCATTGTCACCACCTGCCCACCCAGCTCTGCCAGCTAGTAGGAGTAGCAGAGGCTCTGGATAGACCAGAACAACCAGCGATCACATGTAAGGACTGAGGCTCCATTTGCACTCAGTGCCCAAGAATGGCATGGTGACCCAGCTAACCAGAAGGCTAGCCTTTCAGAAACAACATCATGGGGCCAGGTTGACTAGTGATGACCCAATGTGCATTCAGCCAGCGTGCCTTGACTGGCACTCTTCATATGGAAACACATGACACAGGTCTGGAAGGCTCTATAGCACAGTCACTGAGCCTTATTCATGTTTCCCAATTGATTATTTGCTGTGTGATGGGCACTACTGTAAACACTTAAACATTCTCAACCCCCTGAAGAAAGTTCTATTCTTATCTAACTTTTAGTGATGAGCAAACAAAGGCAGGGAGGTGACTCAATGTTCCCCAGGTCCCTCATATACTATATGCCCTGAGCTACAGGATGAGCTCAATGTCTCCAGAATACAGGACTTTACCCACTCTGTGTTGCCTAAAGCAAGCACTAAGCTCCACAGAGAAACTGTCCAGAGCTTCACCTTCCTAAGGAACCATGTACAGAATGCCCACCATGCAATGGAAAGGGAAAGAACCAAAGTACACCCATAGCCTTTGGAATAAGGGCACATTTGGTACCCTCAGTACTGCAGCACACCGGCTTCCCCAGGGATGAGTGGGGAGAACATTGAAGTGCAGGCTGGTCTTATTCCTCCTTTGCTTCTTTCCAGAGAAATATTGGAAGGCTTATCTTGCACATTTTGCCTCACAGATTCCCTAATTTTCAGAACAAAACACAGCTGAAAACTTGACTGTCTCCCTATGGCTAGTGTAGGGGCTTAAGTGAACGGGCATCCAAGGGCAGGCTGTTCACCACTGCCAGATAAGGGAATGCTATGGGCCAGTACGACAGGGTGTGTACATCTCCTTACTGCTGTTTTATTTTCTTTCCCTCCTTCTATTCAACTCTATGAAGAAAATGGTGTTTTGATTTTGAGCAGAAGGATATTGAGACTGCCAATGTCTTTCAGCCCTGTTGGAGATAGGAGATCATAGGCTCAGGAGGGAAGACAAGGGGTGGTGTTAGGATCACTACTCTGTTACCTCCTTTTCTGTTTTATGCCAGGCACACTCTCCTCCTCTCTTCTATCCTTATGCCCTGCTCTCCAAAGTCCTTCCACCTCCTACATATCTCCTTTGTCATCCATCTTTTTCTCCCCCCTCACTTACCCTTGATTGCCTTATTCTTTCAGTATGCTCTTGTGTTCTCCACTCTTCAGATGTGTGTCCATGTATGCACACCCTCACTACATACACAACTCCTATGACTGCTGCAATGTCATTTGGAGTTTAAAAGTCCAACATGCATGGGCTGGGGGTAGTCTTGAGATGGTTGTACACGTGACTGGAAGACTTTTACCCTCAGAGAGAGAAGGATCACACCCTGCCAATGATTCTCAGTTCTTGGCTGGAGGAACTGTCTAGAAAGGCTAATGCGATTGAGCCAGTATTAAACCTCATTTCCAAGCTGCCAAACAGGTCTTAAGGGAGCCACTTCTGTCCACCTAAACACCTCCAGTTCTGTGTCAAACTGAGACCTCTAATGTTTCCTCTTGAACATACACAAACCACTGTATAGCATCAGATCCTTAACTGAGTGTGCAATTGTTTCTCTTGAAGTTTGGTCCATTTGCTATTTTTAATTAATTGCACTCCTTGATATTCAAATGTTCTATTAAAAAAATTAAGTGTGAAAAACACTCCACTACTGTAGAAGGAAGAGATGGTATAATGTGACCAACTTCAACTATAACAGTGTTGTTTAAGAGAATTATTGTACGATTATGAGAAATGAAGTAATCGAGTAAATAATAAACAAAGCTGTCAGTGAGTGTCAAGTGTGTGGATATTGCCTCATGTCATCCCATAAACTGAGTGATCACAGCGATCTACTGGTGAGTCAAAAATTTAAATGTTACCATTGATATTCCAAATACCTAGGCTCTGAAGCCATCATCTTAACTAGAAAATAAAATGGTTTCCACGGCCAATTATAAGCTTACTTTTACATGGTAGTGATTTTCATCTTCTTTTCCCTCCTCCAAGTAAGCAATGAGTGGAATGCCTTTGCAGCATATTTGCTGTGTTCCAGACATAGTCATAAGCTTTCTCCCTGTCAAAGGACAGCCCTCCACATTGGACCTATCCCTAAAGGGGGAGATAGACTGATATAAAGCGGAAGATGAGAGGAGAGGCACTGGAGTTAAGAGAAAAAGGTTGCAAAAGGCTATCCCAAATCCATTCTTGTGTTTAGTAAAGTCATTTGGGATTTGCTGGATGTTATGAAACACCTCCTGGTGGGTAGGCTCAAATGCTTAATCTCTTTTTTTCACTCTACAGTGTGACTTTAGTTGTTTCTCATCTGCCACCCAAACATATGATTCACTTTAAATTCGTCAATTATCGGAGGTTAAGAGTCTGGGCTTAATATATCCTCTGAAAAGCAATGATCAAAGTCCTAGGCCCTGCCTGGGCAGGGATGATTAAAAGAAGACACAGACTGCAGCAGTTTTTTATTTCGGCCACAAACTCTTCCACACCCCTTCCATCTAGAAGTACATTCTTCTTTCTCTTCCCTGAGTCTGGGCAGGTTTATGACTGTTTTGATCTAGAGGTTATAATGGAAGTGACAGCTTGTGACTTCTACATCAGAGTCACAAGACTTTGGGATTTCGGCCTCCTCTGGAACTCTTGCTCTTGGAGCAGTCAGCAATCACACAAGAAATCCAAGACTTGGAGCTGGAGTGATGGCTCAGCAGCTAAGAGAGCTTTCTCTTCTCACAGAGGACCTGGGCTCAGGTTCCAGCACCCACCTATCAGCTTTTAACCATCCATAACTGCAGTTCCAGGGGATCTAACACCCCTTCTGGCCTGTGCAGGTACTAGGCACACTTATAAATATATTCAGACAAAGCCTTCTTACACACATAGTAAAGATAAATAAATTACTTTTAAAAGTGAAAGAAGTCCAAGGCTGCCACGCTTCCCTCTACCCTGTGATGAGGAGGTTGTATGCTAGCTCTTTGGTACATGGTACCCACCAGGACAATTCTGTAGAGAACACACAAGTGTGGTAGCCTGGTACCTTCAAGGCTAGTCCCCCCCACCAATTGCACAGAACCACTAACCTCTGTCAAAGTGATAAGGAAAGTAAGAATCCCCTCATCAAGCCTGCCTAGAATTCTTGACACTCATCCCAGTTATATACGACAGCGAAATGGTTGTGACTAAAAGGAGTGAAATGAGCACTAACATGTCTGTTCCATCTGCTCAGTGACCAGCATACAGGTAAGACTACCCTGGCTGTAAATTCATCTCAGAAAGGAGAGGAAGCCAAGGCATGTAACACGAATTGGTCTTAATAATAAAATTCCAAAGTCAAATATCAAGGTAAGTGCTGAAAGATTAAAGAAGCAGAGCAGCGGCCACTAAAGAGACTTCTTACCTCTTGGAATCCTCAGACAGAAAGGGCTGAGTTGAGCTCCTGTCTCCACATCACCTTATCACTTCCTCTCTCTGCCCAGCTATATCACTTCCTGTTTCCACCTCCCAAGTGCTGGGGTTAAAGGTGTGTGCCTCCCAAGTACTGGGATCAAAGGCATGTGCCACCACTGCCTGACCTCTAGTGGCTAGCTCCTCACTCTGATCTCCAGGCAAGCTTTATTTGTTAGAGCACAAACAAAATATCACCACACAGGTATGACTGTGTAAGGAGGATGTTCTTCTCACTGATGAAGACTACTCACCATGGAAGGACTACAGAAAGAAAAATGGATACTGTTACCCCAGGGTTTCCAAGAGAGCAAGCTTCAAAGCACACATGGTAACACTGTAAGAGAGGAGACACTATTATAGGGCCAGAAAATGAGAGACAAGACTCCAACAAGGAGTGTGAAAAAGCGCTAGATGAAAAGGGTACTTTAGGTTATTTTGTTTGTATGTCCTTTTTGTATTTGGAACTTCATGGAAATGGATGTGCCAGCCCACACTTCCTATGTGCCTGGTCCTATGCTAAACTCTTAACTGCATAACATCTTTCAATCTTCATCACAAATCTAAAATTAATACTTAAGAAAGAGAAAGCAAGCAGCTACATAGACGTTTAACCATCTCTACCAATGCCTACATGACTCTGATTTTGATATTGTACTCCTTTACAGATTACATTCTTATTTCATTAATTTCTCCTGCCATTGAAATCATTGCCTGCCTGCCCTATGCCAGGCAAGATGAGTGGTTGTAGCTGATCCCATGAAAACCATTAGAAAAACAGTTCAGTTGCGAATAAATGATGCTTTACGCTAAGTTAGGCATCTCTATCACCTGCTTCCAAGGATCGAGAACACTGGGGAAGAGGGGGCTGAAAGAATGTGAGAGCCAAAGAATGGGGAGGTGTGCAGCAAACAGTCATTCTCTGTATATAACATAGCAATTCACTTGTGAACTCCGTGCAGTGGTGGTTCTCTGTGGCATAGGACTTGCACAAGACTAGACCCATCAACATTTCATTACAGATGGGGCAGGGTCCCACATGTGGCCTCACTCTTCTGTGAGATCCTGGTGACAGCTTCATTGATGATTGCTGAGGAGTCATTTTCTTCAGTGATGTAGTACTGATAAGTTCCCCGTGGTCTAGTACATAATCGCCCGAACACCTAGACATGTGCAAGCAACACTTATTAAAGTCCCTGACTCACACACTAAATGAAGACATGAAGGTAGGAGAGGACTCTTGTTGGTGAGAAGAAAGGTGGGAGATGCAGGGTGATGAGAGAGGAATGGAGAGTGAAATGACTAAAATTCAGTGTGTGTGTGTGTGTGTGTGTGTGTGTAAGTGTCAAGATTTCAAAAGAAAAAAAAAAGAAAGAATTTCAGGAGTTATAGCCTATTTTTACAATCTGACTACTTCCTGTTCGGTTTCTTTTTAGTTTTTTTTGTTTGTTTGTTTTTTCACATGAGAGTAATACAAAGCTACAGGATTTTTATTCTAACTCTGTGTGTATCTTTGTGGGTGTTTTGACTCTATTTCCTTCCCATGCATCCAGAGTCCTGTCAATACTTGGGAGAGATCTCAGGGGATAAAGGCCTTCAGGATAGCAGAGGTTGAGACACAGACCCAGAATCAACTACCAACCCTGTTTCCACCTTGAACTCCTATAATATTACCATTCCATATGGACCAATTAGTTAGTAGTTCCATTTCAAATAAAGCCTCAGCATTGTATGGAAATTACTCTCAGTTCATGTGGGAATCTGGGACTTGGTTCACATCTGTACTAATGCAAATTGAGAAAATAAATAGACGTCTTGTTCTGGAGTTTTGCAACATGGAGGCTGCAATTAGCTGTTTTCCTGACAGATGGACAGGTTTTGACATCACATTTCTTCACCAACACTGACTTTTGTTAGTGTCTATGATAAACCGGCCCACATGGGGTAGAAATTAGTGTAATTCACTCCTTACTACCTTTCCTCGGAAGAGAACCCCAGCCGTACTCTGTGCCTAATAAGTAAGGGCAAGTTCCTTTGTTTCGAATGATTAAAATGTCAAGGGACCCTGAGGCTGTTGTCCAGTCACACTGCTTTCTGACTTGTTCTCTAGACAGGAAACATCCTCAAACCATGCCCTTGTGGCATCTCAGGACTCAACTTCACATGGACGAAACTAAGGTCAGACAAGGCTCATTTGGACACCATGGCTGGACCTTCTCTGCTCTATTCTTCATCCACAGTGGACTCTTAGTAATGACATTGCTAGACACTCTTATCTGCAGGCCTCCACCGGGACATGGGATGTATTGTAGAAGCTTAGAGGACAGGCAGAGGCACAAACCTCAGGTGCTTCTCCTCCCTCTACCCTGGATGGTGTCTCCAGAACCTCTTCAGTGTCTCCATCTCCTCCATGTGTTCCCTGTGTCTGCAAAGTTGGAGCTTCTCTGGACGTTGCCATACCTAAGGTTGTCTTACCATTCCTTACATTCCCTTTCCACTAGTTCAGTCTTTCTAGTTGGTGTCACAGTTCAGACTTCCTCTATGAAAATACCTAACACAATTTCTGTTTCCTTGCTTGGGTCTTAACTATTGCCCACTTTATTGAAAGATAATTTTTGTTTTTTGTTTTTTGTTTTTCGAGACAGGGTTTCTCTGTGTAGCTTTGTGCCTTTCCTGGATCTCGCTCTGTAGACCAGGCTGGCCTCGAACTCACAGAGATCCATCCGCCTGGCTCTGCCTCCCGAGTGCTGGGATTAAAGGCGTGCACCACTGCCGCCTGGCTGAAAGATAATTATTTACATAGTATTTGACATAAGACTTTTGAAAGTTCTAGAGTTCTTGGAGTCAATCTTGAAGATTGAGTTTGGATAACAAAATAATTTAGATTTAGGTCAACTCTAAAACAGATTTCAGGGATGACAAAGAAGTTTGCAGTTCAGTGCTGAATCTGATCAAGAGTTTGATTGGACATCTGAACTGCTTCCTGAACAGTGAACGTGAAGTGCATGCCGATTGTGAATCAGTACCTGGTCAGGAAAGGTGAAGTCTATCAGTGTCTGGGAAGAGCATAGAAATGGTAAGTCAGGGGATGTGTGTCATGCAATTGCCTATCCTAGTTACAGGAATGGAATAGGCAAAGATTAGGTAAAACTGTAAATACCCAGGGAAATCGACTACATGTGAATCATATTTTGTAAATGTCTTATGACAAAGCTCAAGTGAACACAAGCTCATTGTTCATTGATAATGGAAACAGAATGACAGCAAATAACTCACTTCTGAGATCTTTTGGTCTCATTGATACATGATTAAAGTCCCCAAATTCTACTTAGGTTTTCTGTTTGGT